GCACCAGGTGGGGAATCCATTTTCCCAGGGCATGGCTCACCCTGTTTTGTCGTTAGCATGAACAAGCTCTCATACAGATGGGAGTTGGAGACCCTGCCAAGTGCAAAAATGGGTAGCACACTTAGGCTTCCACTGTCTGCTCTGGTGCTGCCTTTTCCATCTTTCTGTCTTGTTATGTTTCTACTTTTTTTCTCTTCTTGCCATGCTTCTGTTTCCCAAGCTTTTTGCTTGAGCTTCTTCCTTTCCCCATCTCTTTCTTTTCCCCCATCCCTTCCCCCTCCTGTCCCTGTACCAGAGATAAAATTCAAGGGCTGTTCTACCCCTTTATATTTTTTATTTTTAGACAAGGTGTTGCTAAGACAAGGTGTTGACCGGCTGGACTTGAACTCACAATCCTCCTGCCTCAGCCTCTGTCAATGCTAGGGTTACAGGTGTGCACCACCATGCTCAACTGACTGCTTCCTTTGCTTGCGTTCCACCATCTCTGTTCTCTATCCCACCACGTCCTTCAACTCTCCCTCTGTATTCTCTAGCCCAGCACACATCCTGCCATGCATTGCCCTTTATTCATCCAAATGTATCTCTTTTTCATTCCTGTCCCAGAAAAGATCTGAATATGTATATTTGCTACATGTTACTAATTAATGAAATCAATTTATAATTTTTACTAGGGGTATCCTAATCAGTTGTTCTAGTTCATCAAGAATATTAGTGTGCCTTCCTGTAAGTCCTGATTTCCTGAGAAGGATTTACTAAGTGCGAGAGGAACACTTGTCCCCCTGCTGCATGTGTCTCAAGGTCCCGGGCCTGGTGTGCCTGGCTGGCGTCCTCTGCAGGGTCTGTGCCCCCTGATGAGGGCAAATGTGTCTGGGAAGCTGGAAAGCCTCAGACACTTAGCGTCATGGTTTCTGAAGTTTGGAAGGATGCTACTGTAAAGAATTGTTCAGCATTCCTGTGAAAACTGAACAGTGGAAGATAATTCCTGCTTTTATGAAAACTGCAGTAGTCATTAATAGCAAGCCCCAAAGTGAGAAGGATGAGAAACATGGGCTGTTGGCTTCATTTTGTTTCCTTCTTTCCCTGGGACATCAGGGTGCAGTGTCTGACCATCCAGTTGTCCTCATTCCTTGGGAGACTCAGGTGCCCTTAGCTTCTGTATCTCTGCCTGAGAGTTGGACACAAGGGGCCAGTGGGTGCAGCCCACCCACACTTAAGGGACAGACAGGAAATGAGTCTTCTCTTCTGGATCTTGTTCTTGTGTAAGGACCTGTGCTCTGGAGCAGGTGGGTGGTGCCACTTGTGTCCCAGACATGTGCCTGGCTCAACATCCCTCCTGGTATGGCCAAGACACTCTGCTGCAGTTAGTATAACCTCACTAATGCTTTCGTTTCACTGAGGAGAACCAAGCCAGGTTGGAGCAACCTCAGATGGAGGTCAGATGTCACTGCTCCTCTCTCTCTCTCTCTCTCTCTCTCTCTCTCTCTCTGTCACACACACACACACACACATCTTGAGATAATGTCTTCCCATGTTGCCTACACTGATCTTGAACTCCACTGTGCCTGGTTTTGTCAGTGTCCATTACTTCACAGTCATACATTGCTTCTGTGTCACAGCCTTAGTGAGGCACAATTAATACATGCACCATAAAATTCAGCCTTTTATTTTTATTTTGAGACAGGGTCTCACTGAGTTGCCTAGGCTGACCTTGAACTTACAGACTTCCTGTCAGAAGACTGGGATTACAGACAAGCGCCGTAGTGCTGACTCAAAATTCACCCTTGTAGAGAGTGTACAGTGTACAGGATTTCCACAAATGACCAGAGCTGTGCAGCGGTCCCCACTCCTACCAGTTAGAGCTTCCTAGTTTGCACTTGGTCCCGTAGCCTACACTTGCAGACCAGAAACCTGTCTCACCATCTTTCTTCCAGGACTCTGAGTTCCTTTGTCCTCAACTGTCAACTCTCCTGTCTTCAGCAAAAGTACAAACAGGAAAACTTCTGTCCTGATAGCCCTTCCATCTGAAGAAGTACATTTCTTCCATGAATGGAAAAGTGGCTTGTGCCCTTGCCTCTACCCCTCTCGAGGCCTGGAGAGGTGCCCATCCACTCTTGCCCTTCTCATGTGGGGCAACAGGAGGTAGCCCTAAGAGCCTCAATTCCCTGGTCTGGCCCCATCTTGTGGTCCCAGCACTATAATCTTTGGCAAGTCACCTGTTAGCTCCCCAAGGCAGGTTTGTCCTTCCTCATGTCAGCTTATCCTTGAGTCTGTAGTTCTCCCTTCCATCACTTTCCTGGCCCCTGAGAGTGCTGCAGTAGCCCCTGCCTGTGCCCTGCCTGTTCCCTGCACTGCAGCCCCACTCCTGTGGTGGAACACGTATTCTTTTGTCTCCTCAGGTCTCCTGTCCTCCTTCTGCTACCCCTCCATTCCCTCTGTTGCTGGATTGTCCCCTCTGCCATCTGCCACTGATTGGGGCCTCTGTCTTATCTTCTCCACACACTCTGTCCAGGATCTTTTTTTTTTTCCTCTTTGTATTGGGCCTTTGCAATGAGTTATATCCTCCTTGTTATTGAGACAAGGTCTCACTATGTTGCCTAGGCCAGGCTCAAATCTCTGATTCTTCTGCCTCAGCCTCCTAGAGTACTAGTATTACAGGGGTGTATCATTGGCCCCAGGTAGAAGAAAGGTTTCCGTATCCCTAATCTCTGCCAATAAGACACATATTTTCTGTCCTCCCCCCAACCCCCAGTACCAAGGCTTAAACTCTGGACCTTGAGATCACCAGGCAGGCACTTACGCCACTGAGCTATCTCCTCAGCCCCAATTTTCTGTCCTATGAAACCTCACGATTTCTGTAATCTGTCAAGCCAGGGGCATGCCTGTATTTCTGTAATCTTCTGTCAAGCCTGTAATGCCAGCACTCAGAGGCTGTATTTTCAGTCATTTTGCCATGCTGTCTTTAGTATTTATTCAGTAGATAGTGAATTATGCAAGAATGATATTTTCTCTGCTTTGGATAGAAACACAGCAATTAGAAATAGTAATGTAATTGTTGGGCATGGTGGTGCACCCCAGGAATCACTGTGATCTCTAAGCTTATTTGTTTTTTCAGTTTAAGATAAATACTCTCGCTGTAAAAAAAAAAAAAAAAAACAAACAAAAAAAAAAAAAAAACTTCTAGGAAAAAAATCTTCACATTTTTTAGTCATACAAAGATTATCATGTTATCCAGATATGGTGGCACATGCCTGTAATCCTAGCACTCAGAGGCTGAGGCATGAGGATCAGTGTGATTGCGAGACCAGCCTGAGCTACAATGTGAGTTCAAGGCCAGCCTGAACTACATAGCAAGACCCTGTCTGAAAAGGTTGTGAGAGAGAGAGAGAGAGAGAGAGAGAGAGAGAGAGAAACAGACTGAAGTAGTTTAGTGGAGGGAGCCTCTTGAGTCTGCAGACATGCCTAATAAGTAGATTGACTGTGGCTGCTTAGATGCAAATTCTGTGGTAGATGGGCTGGGCAGCTCTGGATGGGAGCTCTCTGACTCTCTGGTTAAAGATGACACAAAGCAGATAACAGATGGAGTTCCTTATTCTCCTTCCCCAGGGTACCTTGAGGGATCTAAGGAGTCTAAGGGTACTTGAGTACTGTTTTCTATAAGTTGTTCATGTTGTTGTTTTTTTTCTTTTAAAAGCGAAGCCAGTGGTTGTCAATGCAACCCCAGTGCGGATGTCAGTCCCCTTCGTCCCAGCTCAGGCTGTCAAACAAGTGAGTATCCCATGACTTCTTTCTCAGTTTCTTCCAAGTGACAATTTACTCTTCCAGTTCAGAGTTGAGATTTAGGTGCAAGAGAGTGAAACTGAATTGGCCCGCTATAAAATTTTACTTTTGTATCCATTGAGCACAAAATTTCTTTTTTTTAGGTTGTTCCAAAACCAATCAATCCAGCATCACAGATTGTAACCAGCAGCCAACCCCAGCAGCGACTCATCATGCCTGCCACACCACTGCCCCAGATCCAGCCCAACCTCACTAGCCTGCCCCCTGGAACTGTCCTGGCCCCCGCCCCAGGGACAGGGAATGTGGGCTATGCAGTTCTTCCAGCACAGTATGTCACTCAGGTACGTCTTAGTGTTGCAGAAGTGAGATTGGGTCTAGAATGTGTAGGGACACCACATTATGAAACTGTTCAGAAGCACTGAACTGAGGATTAACATTTTTTTTTTAAATCTTGAAATGTTATCTGAAACACTAGAGTTTATTTCTGTATGTTTGCAGCATTTAGAAATATATGACACAAGTCAGATTTAAAAGGCAGTTTGAAACAGTATGAGGCTAGTGAGCAGGACTGGAGATGGAGGACTTGCAGTGTGCATAGAGACTGTACCTTTGCCAAGCTCTTCCACACACACAGGGATCACTGCTTTGTATCTGGAAAGTAAACAATGGGAGGTGTCTCCAAGTGACTGGCCATAGGGGTTGAGCTGCTGTCATGGAACTGTCCTTGCTAGAACTGAATCACGCATCAGCTGGTTGGTCAGGCGTGGGGTGCCACAGGAAGCAGGTGGAGGGTTTCTTTGTCATGCAAGGATCAAAGTGTTCTAAAGTATTGAAGCTGTTGGCTCCCATTGTCAGAGAGAAATAGAACCAGTACGTGTACTTCAGGAAAATGTATGCAGGCTTGCATTCAGGTTCATTTTATTTTGCTTTGCTTTGTTTTGTTTTGCTTTATTGGCACTGGGGATCAAACCCAGGGGCTATACCATTGAGTTACATATCCAGCTCCTTTTATATTTTGAGACAGTATCTCATTAAGCTGCCCAGACAGGAACTGAACTTGTGATCCTCCTGATTCAGCCTCCCAAAACGTTAGGATTACTGGCATATGCCACTATACCCAACAAATGTTCTTTCAAGTCCCCATCTCCACCCTCACCTGCCCTTGTGGTCCTGGGAGTTGTACTGTGGCCTCTGTATGAATGTACAGCCCCAGACTTTTTTGTTCATTGGTTCCTTTGTTGTTTTTGAGACAATCTTGCTAATTTGCCTGGATTGAGCTCAAACTTGTGATTCTTCTATTGTAGCCTCCCAGGCTGCTGGGGCCACCACAGCCAGTCAGTATTCTTTACGTAGCCTTTTCTATGTGCTGGGAGTGCAACTGAGCTGGTCTAGAATATTCACCTAGCACGTGCAAGCTCCTGCTTACCCCCAGCACCACAAGGAAGGGAGGTTGGAGTGGGGGAGGGAGGGAGGAAGAGAATGGAAGAAAGAAAAACCCTATAAACTGCAAGTTCAGTGATGCATGTAACTTCATTATTTATGATTTGTAATGTGATTAATAATCAATATAGGATGTGTTTTATTTGCAAGTAAAACACATTTTCCAACCAAAAAAGGTTATTTCAATACTTTTAAGGTACCCATCTAGAATTTCCAATAAATCTTTTTTTAAATTTTTGATACTTCTAACATACTCCTATGAAATAATTTTTTTATATTTATAGTATTTTGTATTAGTATGCTAAAATGTTTTTGTTATTTTACTTCTAGTATTAAAAAGAGCTCTGTGAAGCTAAGCATGGTGTGGTGCATACCTGTAATTTCAGCACTGAGCAGGCTGAAGCAGGAGGTGCTATCTTGAGTTAGAGGCCAGTCTGAGCTATGTAGTTGCAGGAGTAGGTGTTGTAGTAAAATTAAATAGTTGCAGGAAGTAGGTGTTTGTAGGAATTTTTCATTATATCATTTTCTACTTTGGTAGATGAATTTGTGCTTCTCATTGTCATTGCACCTGAAAGTATTGTCCGTTTTTCAGATTTGATCTTAACTTGCCTTCTTTAAACACAGCTACAACAGTCTTCATACGTGTCCATAGCTAGCAACTCTACCTTCACTGGGACATCCGGGATCCAGACCCAGGCAAGGCTTCCGTTCAATGGGTAAGTGCTTGAGATCCTGTGTATGAGGTTGTCAAATTGACCGAGTGCAACATTAAGTATGTTTATTCTAAAACACATCATATTTGAATTTTTCCCCATAAAACCGTATGAACAGTCCAAAAGTACATTTTATTTGAAATACTTCCAACAGACAAGTTACTGAGACAAAGAACTCCCAGATACCCTTTACTTGGATTTGCCAACTTTGCCACATTTATTCTCTCTCTAATTCTGAGTGTTTCCAATTTGTGTTCCTGTTGGTTCATGTCTTGGTTCTGCTTCTGTGTCTGACTGAAAACAGTGCCAGGGAACCTGTCCCTGTTTGAAACCTGGTTCTCCCATCCCCTTCTCCGTACTGTCTTGTGTAGTTGCACCCCAAAATTTTGAGCTGTTTCCACCTTTTGTCTTCTCAGAAGGAGAATGTATTTGAGGAGAATTCTGCATGGCTATTGATAACTTTAAAATACTTATTTACATGGAACAACATAGCAGACTTTTATTAGAGATTGATACATTTGTTCAAGCTTTGTTTCAGAAGAATATTATAGGTTAGGAACTGTTATGTGTATAAATAGTTATGTTTAATGCATTAAAATATTTATTTTTTGTGTTTGTATAGGATAATCCCATCGGAGTCGGCCAGTCGGCCCAGAAAGCCATGTAATTGTACAAAATCTCTGTGTTTGAAATTGTAAGTGTGTTTTCTAATTTCTTCATATAACTAGAGATGCTCTTAATAAATAGAGCTAATTTAAATTCTTAATAGACCAATTTCATAAGTCTAAGTAATTTAAATAAACATATAGTGACATATATGTACCTATACAACAGTGTAGAAGCATGTTTTCAGGGGTGAGAGGAAATGATCTGGACATCTTCATGATGCCCGAGCCATCGGCTAGGGACATGCAACACGAGGCAGGCACAGTTCGTGTCCTTAGTGACAAGCACTCACAGTTCTCGGGTTTGGACTGCAGTGCTCAGCTAGAAGATGAGCTACTTCGAGGGCAGGACTGCATTGGAGAGGCTCAGAAGTGGTAGCAGCGCTGCTCTAGCTTCTAGCTTCTTAAGGGGTGGGCTTTTTTTTTTTTTCTGTTTTAGAATTTTGAAATAACTCCCATGAGGGCACATAAAATCCTATCCCTCTACTGCTGACAGTTGTTTTTATGTAAAATAAGTTTCTAGGCCCAAATTCTAGGAATTGGTGACTTAAATGTTGAGCCAGACAGTCTGTTTCGTTAGTTCAGCTACTCGGTGGTGCTGGGTACATTTGTTTCTGAGATGTTTTACCACATGTGTTATGTAAGTGCATATATAAGTGGGTAATTACTGGCTTTATTTCGTGGTCATTTTTAATCTTAGACTGATTTATTACCTTCCAGATATTGTGATTGCTTTGCAAATGGTGAATTTTGCAACAACTGCAATTGCACTAATTGTTATAACAATTTGGAACATGAAAATGAAAGGCAAAAAGCAATAAAGGTGATTATTTTTATTTATATGACAAAAATCTAGCTTCTCTTGGTTTTACTTTTAAAAGCCCAGTTGTCTTATAAATGAAAGTCTAATGACCTGTGCAGTGTGTATGCATAACTTGCTGTGACTTTGGTCTGTTTGGCAGGCCTGCCTAGACAGAAATCCAGAAGCCTTCAAGCCGAAGATTGGGAAGGGCAAGGAGGGAGAGTCAGACCGGCGGCACAGCAAGGGCTGCAACTGCAAGCGCTCAGGATGTCTCAAGAACTACTGCGAGTGCTACGAGGTGAGCCACAGCAGGGAACATCTCCTGACTGCCTTCAGAAAACCCACTGCACAGGGTTACATACCAGGTGGGAGTCATGCAGCTGCTTTCAGGGCCCCGGAGGAAGCAGGGCGCCAGGGCAGCGAGCCTGGTGCTGGTACAGCTAGTTTCACTGCTGGCTTGCCATGTCATGACTGAAGGTGTGCACACCACACACAATACCTGCATGTAAGAGTTTCAGTAAAAGTAACAGTTGGACTGGGGATATAGCTCAGCAGCAGAAGTGCCTGCCTGGTAAGTACAAAGTCCTAAGTTCAAGTTCAGTTTCCAGTACCAAAAAAAAAAAGCACACACACATAGTGGTTGGCAAACAATATTGCTACATGCTGCTCTCCACTGGCTTTTCTGAAATACATGCAGCAACAGCCTGCACTCCCGAGGCAGCCTGGAGACAAGGGGATGTCCTGACCCAAACACTAGCAGCTTGCTCTTGAAGAGCAGCACTCTGTGGACAGGAAATTCTCTTACAGAATTTGCCTCATGAGCATCGCAGCTGGACAGGAGGATGTGGAATATTGCTGGGTGAATTCCTAGTCTCTGTGAAGCAACCACATTCATTCTTGCTGTGTCAATGTCACACACAGGCTTTTTATTTCAGGGCCAACCAACTTGCCCTGGAGGAAGTAGTTGCCCCCTCACTTCAGACAAAACACAGCCTTGTGTTTTTATCATTAAAGCATGTACCAGTCTGGCTGCCCATCTTTGGCTTCCCAGCACCAGGGAAGCCTCACCAGCTGGCCTCCTCACCCAGCTTTTCATCCTCTCAGAGGTCATTCTCAGTGGAGGCCCTCTTTCAGCTCTGGCAGGAGGCATAGCCAGCTCTTGGTACAATAAGGTCACCTGTGATCACCTGTCCCTCAGTCAGGTGTGTCCTGAAGTCCGATGCTCATACAGATGTGTTATAAAAAGATGATGTCTAACATCCTGCCCGAATTTACCAAATAAAAGATAAAGCAGGACAGTACAGAGGCATCCTGTTCTACTGTTAAAAGTAACATCTCTGAGTCCAACTGGATTTTTATTCATTCCTGGAATATTTTTGACTATTTCTTCTATTTGAATACTTGATCAAAATAAGCTTGTGCTTAAACCACATCATACAAAATCTGTCATGAATTTGTAAACGTTAACAAGCAATTTGGGTTTGGGGGTGGGAAAGCTGTCAAACCAAGTCCCTAATGAGCTAAAAGGTATAAATTGCTATAAACCTGAGTGATAAAAGCCAAGCCCTTTTATGTATAGTTCATATAAACTGGGCCTATGAAACCTCAGGCATACCTGAATTAATCACTTCATGGACTGGTTAACATGTGGATAAATAACATTATGGATAAATAGACATAGAAAAGGTCATAGAACAGATCTTTTCTGTAATCAATGCCTAACAACTATATTGTCATTCCAAACGTTACATAACAGAAAAGCATGGGACATACTAAACTGTAAACAGCAGTGGCCATTTGGATCACCATGCATTTGCCATGTTGTCTGTCACATATCCTGTTACCTCGACTTTATGGAGCTGGCTTCTCAGTTGGGTTCGTTTGCTTATGAGCAGTACATTTATGACTCTTTCTCATGCTTGCAGCTTAGTGGGTGAATGAGGACTTCCCACCTTACTTAAATAGCTGTGTCTTGGACTCCCTGAGAAAATGAATCAGTGGAACAGACTGGGTGCCCTGTTGTTGCCATTTCTATCCCTGAGCTCCTTGTTAGTATTCATTAGTGTCTTTTCTGTGTTGCCTAAAATACAGTCCAGGGCTGGGGATGGAGATCAGTAGAAAAGCATCTGGCCTAGTATGTACAAGGCCCTGGGCTTGATTCCCAGCACCACAAAAACAAAGAACAATCCAAATTGCCACCATGTCAAGGCCAGAGATTTTTCTCTCTGTATCTTCAGAGGCTTAGTAAATGTCACTTGGTTGGATTCTCACACAGGCTGACAGTAACCCAATTAATTCAGATGTACATCCATTAATCTTCTGATATAAATGAAGTTCATCTTTGCATTGCAAAAAAGAAGCAGGATAGCTGGGTGTGGTAGTGGTGTATGTGTGTAATCCCAGCACAGAGGGCTTGAGCAAGAAGATCACTTTGGTGAGACAGACAGCTGGGTGTGGTGGTGCTCACCTGTAATTCCAGCACTCTTGGAGGCTGAGGTAGGAGGATCATTGTGAATTTGAGACCAGCTTGGGCTACTAAGTGAGAGCTCAAGGCCAGCGTGTACTACACAGCAACAACCTATCAAATACACACACACACACACACACACACACACACACACACACACACACAAATAGGGCAAGAGATAGAGCCCAGTGATAGAGTACCTGGAATTCTTCCCCAGTACTCTCCTACACACCAACACAAATATAAACTGAGCCTATGAGAACACAAAGGAGCAGAGAAATTTATTCATAATAGGGTCAGTTTATCCTGCTAGGTGCTATAGAGACAAGACAATAATTTTATTTAAACTTACTTGAGATTGGGGAGATAGCTCAGTAGAATAAGCATTTGCCAAGCAAGTTCAAGGTCCTCAGTTTAATCCCCAGTACCTCAAAATAAACAAACAAACAAACTTACGCGGGAAGAATTCTGTAAGAGCCAGGGAAATGTAAAGAACAATGCTGACTTCAGTGAGACTGGCAAATACTAGAGTTATATTGGGGCCGGGGAGATGGCTCAGTGGAATAAGCGCTTCCCTGCCAAGCGCAAGGGCCCGAGTTCAATTCCCAGTTCCGCAAAAAAAAAGAATTATATACATTGTTATAAGGAACATAGGAAAGTCTTAGTTTATACGTTGGTGATCAAATGTAAAGTATTACAGCCAAAAAAAAAAAAGTCTGACCACAACCCTCAAAATTAAAAGACATATACCCTTTAACCATTGAACCTATTCTAAAAATCTAGCTCAGAAAAATAACACCATCATTTTTACCTCCTCTAAAATCTTTTCATGTATTTTTTGTGTTGTCTAGGAAGTAGAATATCCATCAGTGGAAAAATGAATGCCACCAAAATGTGGTACATTGTATACACCAGGAATCCCACCCAGCCATTAAACAGAATGCATACCAGCCCCACAGGTGAAAGGGAGGAGCCCATGAATTCTCAGTATGTGCAGAAAGCAGGATGTGGAAAGGCAGACACATGATTGTGTAAAACAAACTAAAACTCAAAGCGAGACTCCTGTAGTTAGTTGTTATCTGGACATAAGACCTGTGTCTCATGTGAATTTATTTTCTTACGTGGCAGGATATACTGGTTCCTGGGCCCAGAAGGGCTTAGAGATCTGGAGCTGGAAGGCAAGACAGTGAGAGAAGAGTGTAGTTAGCACAGCATGTTGGTCAGGCACGGAGGCACACACCTGCACTCCCAGCTGCTGTGGCTCTGATTTCCAGGTTTGAGGCTAGCCTACACAATTTAGGGAGGCCTTGTCCCTCAAATAATAGGTCTAATAATGTAGCTCAGTGGTAAAACATTCCTGGTTTTGATTTCTGCATTCACCAGAAACAGAAACCCAGTGGTTGACAGCCTATACACTTGGTTGACAGCCAGTGCAGCCGTGTCAGTGATGGTGAGCCTGTGGCATGCAGGCTGTTACTGAGCACTCTAAAAAGACTTGTCATCACTACTCTAGTATGGGTGAAATCCCTTTCATGTGAAACTGTCTTCACTGGCATGTGAATGGCAAGCTGAAGTAGCTGGGCTCTGAAGTACCTTAGTGTGTCATTCATGCTTCTTATGGAGAAGCTGTGTAATTCACAGTGAGGGCGAGTCCATACTCACAGTGGGCAGAATTGGCAGGAATGGACCTGCACAGTGTTCGGCCTCTCCTGTCTGCTGTACATGTGGAGTTAGCCTAGTTACACCAATTGGTCATGTAATGTCTGTTGATTTGATTGTGGCATCTGCTTATAGGCTTTGATTGGAAACTTTTTCTTTTTGTAAATCTTTTAGGCAAAAATAATGTGTTCCTCAATCTGCAAGTGTATTGGCTGTAAGAATTTTGAAGAAAGCCCAGAAAGAAAGACTCTGATGCACTTGGCTGACGCGGCTGAAGTCAGGGTGCAGCAGCAGACGGCAGCCAAGACCAAGCTATCCTCTCAGATTTCTGACCTGCTCACAAGGCCTGCACCAGCCTTGAGTAGCGGGGGAGGGAAGTAAGTCTGCAGCTTCTAAAATTCTTGCTGTGTTTCTCAGATGCTTGTTTTTTTGGTAAGGTTTCTTTTGGGAGATGTAAAGTCAAGTTCATACTTTTGAGTTCTACAAATCTGAATTTTGTACTTCTTTTCATCTTTAGTTTATTTTTTAAATTTCATTTATTTATTTAATTTATTTATTTTGTATTTTAGGGAAGGGTCTACAGGGTCTTACTACTAGATCAGACTCCTAGTGATCCACCTGTTTACAGCCTCCCAAGAGCTGGGATTACAGGCGCACGCCACCAGCCCAGTCTCAGTTGCCATCTCAACGTGCCCTGGGGGCAGGGCTGGCACAGCAGGCCCAAGGATAGAGCCCCCAGCCCCTATGGCTGCTTGCAGGTGCTTTAATCCACTGAGCTATTTTTTAGTTGCTTTTAAAGGAGATTAAGGATAAAAGGAAAAATCACTGCTAGATACATTCTGTAATTCTAAAATGCAAAGTGACACTTCAGTTTGCTATGCTTAATTTAATTAGATTTCCCTCTATTAAGATGCATTACCAGCCTGGGAGATAACTCAGAGGCATAAGTGCCTGCCTGGCATGTGCAAGGACTGGAGTTCAATCCCCAGTACCTCAGGCCAGGCCATCCCTGAACCCCAGGTGGTGGCATAAGCCTATAATTCTAGGGCTGGGGAGGCTGCGACAGGATCCCTATGAGTCTGAGCTGCATAGTAACACTGTGTATCCAATAAATAAATATACAAAAAAAAATTTTTTTTAAGATGCAGTATGGGGCCGGTGAGATAGCTTTGTGGGCTAAGTGGCTGCTTAGGTAAGCACAGTGACTGAGGTTTGATCCCTGGTACCACATGCCTTGCCAGCCCCACCCCTGGGCATGCTAAACTGGCCACCCAGAGCAGACCTAGTGGCACTGTAATCCCAGCGCAGGGGAAGCTGAAAACAGGACAGTCACTACAAGTCCAAGTTGCACAGTGAGACCCTGTATCGAATATGTTAAAAAAAAAAAAAAAGAAAAAAAGATGCAGTACCTATAGAATTTGAGAAACTCCTATAAAAACCAAAATTTTTATGCCTTTTTGGCAAACACAGTTATTTTTGCATTTTCTTACCTTTTCTTCTATGGTCCTGGAGCACTTTTCCCATCCTTGGGGACACCCCTCGTATTATAATGTTGTAGTCTTTTATTGTTATTAGAGATTAATTTGAGAAATTAAGTGGAATAAACCCTGTAAATGGTATTCCTAAATTGAATTGAGATCTAGTGCTTATAAAAAATAAAGATCTTAGCCAATGTAGCACATTCCTGTAATCTCACCACTCAAGGAGGCGGAGGCAGGAGGATCACAAAATAGAGCCCAGCCTATTTAGAGACTTGGCGAGACCCTGTCTCAAAATGAAAAAAATAAAGAGGCTGGAGATGTAGCTCAGTGTGGCAGCTCTTGGGTTAATCCTTAGTACCATTTAGAAAATAAAAGCCTTTCTTTCTGTATAAAATAATTCAGCTATTCTAATGAACTCTTACAACTGGACTACATAGACATTTCCTGATGGAAGTAAATGGAAATGTACAGACAGGTTAATAAGGGTTAGGATGCAAACCCTTGCTGGCCTTTTAATAATCTTTTAGATGATTCTGATCTTTATTGGAAATTAAAGGTATTACTAGGGTAAAACACATAACATTTTTCTACTTGGAAAATTTTCTTGGGCTGGCGAGATAGCTCAGTGGTCTAAAGCACCTGTGTAGGCAAGCTTAGGCAGGCACAGGGGACCATTGTTTGATTCCTGGCACCACCTGCCCCGCCAGTCCCACCCCCAGGGCAGGCTGAGTGGGCCAAAAAAAAGAAAAAGAAAATCCTCATGATACAAAGTGAAAACATGAAGTTATACAATAAAAACTTTTAAAATATCCAGTATACAGTTATATCAACATGTTAATAAACTTTTGCTTAATTGTTTAAAATTTGGAAGTATGTGGCTTTCTTGATTGATTATTGATTTGACTGATTAGTTTGTGTTTTTCAAGACAGGGTCTCACTATGTAGACCAGGTTGGCTTCGAATTCATGATCCCCCTGCTTTACCTTCCTCAGTGCTGAGATTACAGATGGGCACCACCACATGTACCAATGGTAAACCCAGTATAACCAGAGCTCTTTTTTTTTTTTCCCCCCCTTCGGAGGATCTCGCTGTGTGGTCTAGGCTGGCTTCAAACTTGCTGTGGTCCTCCTGCCTCACCCTCCTGAACACTGGGATTATAAGTATGCACACCACCCCTGGCCCCCAGAGCTCTTCAGTGTATTTGTGTTGCTCAGGGTTTAGGTGCTGCAGACTGTGGTGAGGTTCTCAGTACTGTTGTCACTCAGACATCACCATCTTCTCTCTTTCTTTCAAACGTCATTTCAGGTTGCCATTCACCTTTGTCACCAAGGAAGTAGCAGAAGCCACATGTAACTGCCTGCTTGCCCAGGCAGAGCAAGCGGACAAGAAGGGGAAGTCAAAGGCTGCAGCAGAGCGGATGATACTGGAGGAGTTTGGACGTTGTCTGATGAGTGTCATCAACTCTGCAGGAAAAGCACGAAGTGACCCATGCGCCATGAACTGCTGAGCTGTGCATAGAAAGTGGACAGAGCTGTGCAGACAGTGCAAGCTGTGGAGACAGCTGACCTTCTGGATGATAAGTTAACAATTACTGTATTTACTCAGTCCTTGTTTTAAGAGACCTGAAATTATAATACTGAAAGAGAAGACATTATAAATGAGGAAATTCATACATTTTAAATCTTAGTTAATTCTGCTTACACCCCTTCTAAATTGAAGTTTTCTTTTTAATTTTTATTGTATTATATAGATTTTTTATTTTGATTTGGTTTAAGAATTAGATGTTCTTTCTGATTCTATCAAGAAAAAATATTTTATAAATTATGGAATTTATAATGTGTGGTGTTGTATGGCTTTGTTCAGTCAAAAAAGTCAAAGCAGCATTGGTCCTGTGTAGCCATTCTAGAATGTATACCAGTAGAAGGGCTATATAAATTCTTATGGAATATATTCAAATGGCACTTGTGTTTTAAAAAGCACTCTTTTTAAGAAAAACCAGCTTTTTAGGCTGGAGTCTGGACTATCAAAAGAGGAAGCAATTTCCAGGCACAATTTTAAAATAAAAGTTATTTTACACACACACAAATGAAGGGACACTAGGTAATTTTTAGGTGTACAGTGTGTTTCTATAATGAGCAGTGGCTAGGAGTGCTGGGGAGTCACCATGTTCTTTCAGGAGGTGGTATGCAGTGGAAATAAGTTGTCAAAGTGCTTATTGGCTACTAGCAAGGTGAGAGGTATGTGAATGTGAGTAAGAATTTTGTAGAGAGATTATAGAACGTCATGTAATCAAGTATAAAATTTAGCTTGGGTGGAGAAATAAGGACTATTGAAGCTGAAAGAGATAAATTTAAGGAAGGACTTTTCTCTGTATAGCTCTCTTTGTAAACTTACGATCTAAGAACTTTCAGACCAATAATTGACTTTTACTTGGTTTACTGAAATAAGTCTCAGTATCAGTAGCAAAGCTTTCAAAATTGTAATAGAATTTCTTTTTATAAGGGAAGCTTATGATGACATTGTTTTTAGCCACTGATCTGGTCAGCTAGAAGGTATGTGTGCTTTCATGTAATTGGGTAAAATTGGCTAATCATTCTCAGTAATTAAGCTGTCAGTTTAAGGAGCCTATGGGAGTAGGACTCTTGATTTTAGATAATTAAACCATGTTGGAATTCAGAAATTTTGTTAGGTACCTTAATCCTCAGTAATTATCAGTATATATGATTATTCTATCTCCTACAAGGACTTTATAGTTGTATGTATTAAGTGTGTATATATGTTCACATGAACATGCAAGATATAGGAAATAAAAATTAAGTAGTCCAAAAGAGGATTCCGTTATTCATTAAAGTATCCTCCTTTTGAATCTGGGTTTATAAAAGTATAGTGCAGTAACTAAATGTAGATAGTGCAGGCATTCTTAGCACCTCAATCTACTAGGCCTAATTAAAACTTGTATAAATGTAAATTAGTGTAAGAGGATAAAATAATATCTAATCAAGTTATTTTTCAAAACATTGCAATAAGTTTTTGGTCTAAACCTAAACTTTGTTCATTTTGTATATAGTCTGTGTTAATTCTAATTGCACCATTGTGATGTGTATTTATATACAGTGTGCAGAAAATGTGAAATTTTGATTACAATTGTAGATTATGTATGATGGCATTGCTTAAGAATGTTTCGCTTGTAAAAATTTGATTTTCAAGAGGCTATCTAAAGTATTAAGCCCTCTTCTTGCTGTGCAGTGCTTACTAAACAACTTTTTGTATTTAGGCATTTGCATTGAATTTGCTGAACCAGATTAATAGCCACACTCATGCAACCATTTTAAAAGACTATTTGGGGAGTGTTGGATATATAACTTTTTAGCTCTATTTACATCCCAAGATAGAATGATTAAATTTATATTTACTAGAGCTATTCAAAGAATACTCTTTTCTATATTGTAAAAACCAGGACCGGAAAGTAAATCATACAGAAAATAAACATTTATACTATTGTGTAAAAAAAGTTTTGCATTTTTTCTTTAGTTTAATAATACCAGTTTTAACCATTCAACCTACAAAAAACTTTGCAAATTATCTGACTTTCAAGTAAGTTTGAGGTTACTCTGAAACCATACAACTCAAAAGAGAATTTTGTTATAATTACCATAAATTGGTGTGTTTTTTTTTTTAGTTTAGGGCTTTTGTTTGTTTTTGTTTTTTTCTCTTTTTGAGACAGGATCTTGCTATGCAAGTCTGGCTGGCCTTGAACTCATGGTGATCCTCCTGCCTCAGCCGGGGAGTAGTGGAATTACAGGCATGCCCCACCACACCCAGTAACACAAATTACTTTGAAATGAAAAAACGTCTTTCTTATTCACTGTCTTCTGAGAGTGGAAACCATACCTACTCCTCCTTATGATACACATCTTTCTCTGTTTCCTGGGAAAGAAGAACTGAATCTGAATGCATTGTCCACAACCCAAACAGCAATGAAAGGACCAGTGAGGTACACAGTGTTAGTTCCCCCATTGGTATTTAATAATTGATATTTTCTTAATCTTAAGTAAAATGTGAATAAAAATGCCTTTAGAAAGGTTTCTATTTTTATTGCACTGAGCACTAGTAAGGGGGCCACCAGGATAGCTCAGTGGTCTAAAGTGCCTGCTTAGGCAAGCTTAGGCAGCCTAGCGAATGCAGTTCCATCCCCAGCACCACGTGCTGCACCAGCCCTGCTCCCAGGGTGGGCTGATCTGGCCACAAAAAAATAAATAAAATAAAAATAAAACAAGTACAATTTAAAAAACAAAACAAAACAAAATTAAACCACTAGTAAGGAAATGAGCTTGTGGGATGGCCAGATAGCTCAGTGAATTAAAGTGCCTGCTTACGCCAACTCCCCCAACGCTGGCCCGCCGCCCAGGGTGCACTGAGACTAGACATGGTGGTGCGCCCTATAATCCCGTGCTTGGGAGGCTGAAAACAGGAGGATCACTACCATTCCTATTTGTGTAGTGAGACCCTGTAGACCCTGTACTAAATACATTTTTTTAAAAAAGAAATGAGCTTATAGTTGAAGGCTCAAACAAGGACCTTGCCCCTGCCTCTGGTCTTACCGTACCCCTTAACCAATTTAGTGGGAATTGAGGGGAAAACCACTCCAAGCCAAGGGGAGCAGATCAGCTAACATCTTTACTAATGGGGTTTTTCTCTATTTCTATTTCTAAGGCTTTTTTCCCCTATGTATACTGTATCATTGCTAGGCCAAATGCTAACTGTACTTTTGTTGTTGTTGTTTAATGTATTTAGTATAGGGTCTCAGTACACAGATTGGACTCTGTAGCAATCCTCCTGTTTTCAGCCTCCCAAGCTCTGGAATTACAGGTGTGCGTTACCACGCCCAGACTCAGTTGCCATCTCAGCGTGCCACAGGTGCAGGGCCAGCATAGCCTGCTGGGGATCGAACCCCAGTCCCTGCATCTGCCTAAGCAGGCACTTTAATCTGCTGAGCTATCTGGTCAGCCCTTGCTAACTATACTTGTGATGTGCTTCCCTTCATGATACAGACTGGTGCCAAGACCTATAAATGCCAGAAAGCATGTCTCGCTGAGTTATACCCTCAGCTAGATGACTAGTGACTTTTTAAAAATTAAATCCTCTTCAATCCCTATTTCCACAAAAAAAAAAAAAAAAAAAATCCTTCTCAATAGTAAACTTGGGGCAGCATTTAAGACATTCTTAGTTTCTACTCAAAAGCAGTTAAGAAAAGTGTATGCAAGGTATTGTGTAAGTTCACAGGGACTTTCTGTTCGCAAATGAAATCTGGCAGTATATTAAAAGAACATGTCACGCTAAGAAAAGACCATTAAGGCCACAGTCATTTGTATATAATGTGATTGCCTATATAGGAAAGCCAGAGATGGGGCTGGGGGTTTGGCTCAGCGGTAAAATGCTTGCCTAGCAAGCTGGAAGCCCTGGGTTCAGTCCTTGGCACCAAAAACAAAAAATAAACCTCCCCTAAAAAACAATTTAACCAAAAAAATACAGTAAAATCAAAAAAGACCAAAAACAAGGCAGCTGCCAGAGGTTTTTTGTTTGTTTTTATTTTTGTTTTGAGGTAGAGGCTTGCTATGTAGTTCAGCCTGGCCTTGAACTTACTATGTAGCCCAGGCTGACTTCAAACAGCCTCAGGACGCAACCTGCCCAGCTGGCTCCAGTGTTCACTTTTCATCTAGTTTCTAATTTTTCACGCTTTCGTTCTCATCTCTACCAATTCCCTTTCAGCAGATTCTTTGTTAGTGCAACTACTTGAAGGAGGTTCTGTTTTATGACCTGTGAAGAAAGCTGGTGTTGTTTTTGTTTGTAAGGCAGGTGTTTTCTCAGTCTTTTAAGAACTTCCTAATTTCGGGTTATTCTCTGTTCTAGCCTGGGTTTTCTCAGCTCGCTTGCTGGAAACCAGCTTGTCCCCGTAGCTGCTGACCCTGCAGGAACAGGAGAGCCACACAGGAACCTGCCCAGGCTTGGGCAGTGTCCAGGAACAGAGGCCCAAAAGAGGACAGGCTGGGGTGAGAAATAGCCAGCCTACCTGGAGCTGGCTTCCTAAGGAATTTTCATCTGAACTGTGTAGGGATTTTTCAGCAGTTGTGCTGTTGTATTTTTAAGTAACTGTGGGGGTGGGAAACAGCTTCAGGGTCATAGGGCTGGTGCTGTCATCCCTTCCCAGTTGTGTGACACTTCCTTAGGGGTGGCATGGTGATCCAGGTGACCCATGACAGTATATTAGGCTCACAGAACAGGTGACCAAAAGATGGCTGACCAGCCAAGCCACCTGGGTGCTGAGCCTCCTGATTTTCATGCTCAAGCCTGGCCAGCAGCACAGTGTTGAGTCTCCTTCTTAAAATGGGGTCCTGAGGCTTCAGATGTCAGTTGTGCACATGCTAAAACACCAGTGTTACAAAACGTTGCTGGAGAAGGCAGCCTTCAGGGATCTGAGAGAGGCCAGGGGTGTCCTAAGGCAGAAGCTTCAGTTCTGTCTGTGTCCTAGGGGTTATCAAGGACAAGATAGGGCTCAGCCACCCAGGGAGAGCAGGTGTGGTGGGCACCAGCCAGGAAGTGATGGGCTCTGGTGGGGCTGGAGGCCACCATGGCAATGGTGGTTAAGGATATCTGGACAATGAGAAGCCATGGAGCCCATGGTCACTGCTTGCCTGTCACCAGTGTTCCCTGGCATCCCTGTTTGTTGTTGAGTTGGTTCAAGGCGAAGAACGGGGGCCAAGAGAGAGAAAATGTGTGCTGACTGGTACAAGTGGCTCCACACCATCTGAGTCTTGGCTTGAATGCAGTCCACACCATCTGAGCCTTGGCTTGAATGCAGAAAGCATTCCAGGATCCTGGATACATCAGGGAGATGGTGTTGAGGTGGGCTAAGTGGGATACTGGCTTGGTTTTTGCTTGATTTGCCTACATTTCAGTGTCATCAAGTCCCCAACACACTACATTTGTGGCTAGAGCAGTCTCAAGCTGTGGTGAATATTCAGTAGTCTAAGTGAGAGGAAGCAAGTTTCCCTCTGTCTGGATTCATGCGCTTGCTTTTTTTTTTTTTTTTTTGTGGAACCGGGGATTGAACTCAGGCCCTTGCACTTGCCAGGGAAGCACTTATTCCACTGAGCCATCTCCCCAGCCCTGGGATTCATGCTTCTGTATCACTAATCATTAGTTCTTTTATATTGGTTATTTTCTTTCTTTGCAAATATAACATACTTATTATAGGAAAATTAGCAAAGCAAAGCAAAATTAAACATTAAGGATTCCCATATTCCCACCAATCATAGTGTCTATTTCTAAGTTTATCAATATGTTTGTTTTTAGGCCTAACACATGGTTCCTACAGGTCAGTCCTGGAAGACGTGCCAAGCACAGGTGAGATGAATGTGTGTCCTTTGAGGGTTAAGTTGTTCTAGAGATGCTGCTGAGGTCTGAGTGGTTTGTGGGTATTGAATTCAAATCACATGTCCCCTTATGATCTTCTGCTTACTTGTCCTGTCTACTTTCAAAAGGATATTAAATTCTTCAAGTATTGTTATTAAATTGTCCATTTACCCCTACAATTATGTGTTTGGTGGAACTCTCTTGTTATACACATACATATCTATGCTTGGTCTGTCTTCCTGA